ACTGGAAGTTTAGTGATGCAGACAAGCTTACCTGTACTATTTACTGATTGTAATTTAATTGCTAGCAGCGTGCCTAACTTGAGGGAACCTTAGAGGAATGAAAGTATGTGGTTTGGGCGTGGCACAGTAGTAACATGCCAGACTGTTGACCCGAAGATACCTAATTCGTGTCCCGTTGCCTCAAAAAAACTCGCTTCGCACTTTTGGACTGGGGAAGTATTATAAGAGTGACGGTTAAATTCCATTATTCAATCGCGTAAAATTATCTCAAAATTTGGCGGTGGGTGATGTTGACTAACTGCCTTCCTTCTAGTCTATCAGTTTAAAAATTTGAGGCGATTATGTGCAGATAGTATTGGTGAGATTTTGCACAAAACTTCTAACAAAAAAACGCGAAAAGACTTGTCTAGTTTTCACCGCTACAACAACAAACTGAAATAATAATAATAGTAAAATGGGGATTTCCTGAAGGGCTACCAAAGACATATCCCCTTTAACTGTTTTACGTGAATTTGTTATATAGATGTTGAATGTTTCCGTGAATGAATAGAAACTGTACTTAAAACATGTACTTGAAACACGGCCTGTTACAAGCCGGATATAAGAAAGGAAGTGGAAATAATCTTTCACTGACTACGTATGATTTGTTAGTCAGTTGATAAACACCAACTAATTCTTTAGAGATATTTTACCCACAAACACTACATTAAATATATATACGAGTATATATTTCACGACCAGTCAGAATGTCCACTACCTGAAAAACCTATAAAAGTCTTAAGATTTTTCTGAGGCTGTAAAATATTTGAAGAGTTTTGAATTTTGAATATGTTCTGGAAAAATTGCAAAGCAACTCACTAAAGTTCAAGTTTACTTTTCTCAGTTAGATAACTGGTCTGTATAGCTCTGTGTTTGTGTAAGAGTTCAGAAACTTCGTGACAGTTGTTCTCAAAAGTTCACGTCCATCATTTTACGCGTAACATACCAATTTCATAAATATCTAAATATAAACTTTTTTATTCATCGTTTGGTTGATATCGAGGAACATAGATATTATGTTTCAGGGTGTGTATGTAACCAGCCGGTATACATCTTTTTTATCAGAAAGTATGAATTACCTCCACTGATATATTATGCCACTTCTTTGTATAGCTCCAGAATAAACTGGTGTTGTTGTTTTTTCAAAGTTGGGTATCTATTTGTTATGTCAAGTCTCAGATATATTGTTTCCTATTGATCGGGACGATTGATATATTTAAGTTATTCTTCGCTCACTGTAACAGCGAATAAGAGTTCAACACTTATTATTCACGCACTATGTTATCGAATAAGAGTTCTGCGCTTACAGAGCGTGCGCCAGTATTGGCATAGATATAAACAAACACGTCAGATCTTCCCTCGAAACATAGGGCGTTAGGCTAAGGGTCTTGAAAGTTAAAGATAATTACTGACTTTGTTCAAGTGCCTGTTGAGAAACATATCGCAATATTCCCGATGCTATCTGACTGGGGATACGAGTCACACAATGGTAAGTTAGCATACAAAGTACAATATTCTCAAATCATTGTCTGACAGTTTAACCCTTTTCAGCCTATGAAAATGTGTGACATCAACTTCGAAAACTTAACTGTGATGTATCCAAATAAATTTCCTCAAAAAATGAAATTACATCTGAAATGTTGACATTTTAAATTTTCTATTGATATTAATATTATTTAAGTTTCTTTTACACAAGATAATGAAAAAAAATCGAAACTTTAGCCCTAATTGTCGATTTTTATATTCGTATAATGAAAATATATAAAGTTCCGACCTCGCACAGAAACTTGTCAGCAGACGATACAAAGCCTGCAATGCGTAGACTTAATACAGTTGTGGAACTATTTTCTTCCTATAATGTTTTAAAAATAATAAAAGTTTAAAGTTGTGACGTCAAGATTTGTAAAACGTAATTCTCTGCATGTTTTTGTTTATAAATTTCTTGTTTCTAAAGATGTCTAAATCGTATATATATATACATGTCACATGAGATTATTTTCTTTCTCGTAATATATTTTCCGTAGATCTTCCTTCCTTCCTGTTGCAAGTATACAAGAAAGAAAAACCATGAAATTGAGCTAATTAGTTTCTAGGTTGATTTTTCTTTTTACTGGCTTATAGTTATGTTTTTTTTTTTTATTTGTTAGCAATGTAAGGGTAATAAATTAACTTAATATGTTTCTCTGTGTGTTTATTTGTTTTACCGAAGTAACTGTCTTTACAGTTATTTTTTTTGTATACGGTATCTTTTGTTTTGTAATTTGATCCTTTGGCGGACAAACAAGGTTTGCTAAATGTCGTAATTTTGTACTCGTGTAACTGAATTTCGCTGTCTTGCTTACGAGTTTTTAAACAAAGGTTATATGTATTATTATATATAAGCTTATTGTTTGTTTCTTTTGGTTTTTGTGCAAAGCAACTCGAGTGATATCTACGCTAACCGTCCCAAATTTTGAAGTGATAAACTAATTGAAGGGCAGCTACTCAACACATCCACCGCCTACCCCTTGGCTACTCACGTTATAAAATTAAATCCTCTTGAGTTTTCTTCCTGTACTAAAGTTTATAGTTCCTTTAAACTTAGTTTATTTCCTCTTTAATTTAATGATCAATTTATTGTTTCAAAGAACTTCAAAATTTTTAACGAAATATTTTTCATAAAAGTCATTTTTCTTTTTCTTTACAGTTTCAAAACGGGTACAAGTTAAAAGTGATTCTCTTAAATCACCAACTGTTTGTTTACTACATTTATTAAAATGTTTGCTTGAAGCGGGCGAACTGTACGATAAAGTGCATATTAAGTTCGTATGCAATGTTACGTTTTCAATGAAAAGTGTTTTAGATACAAATACGAAACACAACAGCATTGAAATATATACATATTATAGAAGCAAAAGAGCTATTTTTATTTTTTATTGAGGGGGGGATAACCAGTCACGAACCGTGAATACATGTATTCGTTGTTTCTGAACCTCTCAAACCCATGTTTAGTTTATCTGCAGAGAACGTTTGTGAACAAAAAGATATAACTGATAAGTCAGCTCACGGTAAATATAAAAATGTGTAAAGAATAATGCCTTGTAACCTCTGTTACACTGTTCAGCACACAACTGTATACTGGTTTTTATACGTTAAAATAGCCTAATTTTCACCTACTCACGTACTATAAACTATACTTTGTTATAAAAATGTAGATCATACGCATAACAAGTATCGTATACTTTTGATTACTATTATTATAAAATGAAACGCAGCACTGATCTTAAAGATGTACGCTTGTTTGTTGTTAAGCGCAAAGCTACACAGTGAGCTGTCTGTGCTGCTCAATCTCGGGTATCAGTTTTTAACGTTATAAGCCTTCTGACTTACCGCTGAGCTATTGGAGAGCAAGTTTTTTTTGTTGTTGTTTCAGTACAGAGCCACATTGAGCTAGCTGCTGTGTCCATCGCAGTGTACATTTGTATAGGAATGGTTAGCATATGTTTATACGTACTGACAACACTCTGACTTTATATATACAAGTACATTTATTAAATGAAATAACACACATTATGCTAATTTTCTACAAGTAGAGAATTTTTGATGCATATATTATATCACATCATTATGTCCGTCGAATCGTTTGGACGATATCGAGTAACAGACGTTTTCTGTTTCAGGATGTGCATCGAAACCAGTCGATATACCTTTTTACGGATATCAATATACAAGCTGAAATACCCGTCAACTGATGGGGCATGTTTAAACTTAATTAAGACAATGTAAGTTTAACAGCAATCATATTTTCAAAGTAATAACTTGAACATACATTTTATCTCAACATTTTAAAATTATAACAAAACTTCTTCATAAACAACATTTGCAGTTTGCTTTCCATCTACGAACAAATAAAGATTTTGAGGTTATCCCACCTTTGAACACCCTACATGAGAAAAACATGGTTGTTTGAGAAGCAATCCAACAACTTTCATACTTTGACCTCGAACCCCTTTAGAATATTCAACATTGTCTAAAGCGTCAACCTGCCAAGATTGTTTGAGATTGACTCAATAGGCTGGGGGTAACTAATCAACATGCTTTACAAAATAAGTTAAGTTCAATTTTGACCCTTTAGAACATTCCCCATAGTGTTTACATACAAGTTTTGGTCGAGATTGGCCTAATAGGCTCGGAGTAGTTAGGGTGCAAACAAACACACATTTTAATGCTTGGAGACGGTTTGAATGGGTAATAAAGAAAAACTTTAATGTAAGTTTAACATAACAGCAAATGTACAGCGTTTCGAAAAGGTTTTGTCATTACCTTGTCGAAACGTTGTACATTTGCTGTTATGTTAAATTTATATTAAAGTTTTTCTTCATTACCCATTCAAGCTGTCTCCAAGCATTATTAGTCTCAAAGTGGGTTTTTCGTCATCGAATTTAAACACACATTTTGTCTTTATATATAGATTTGAAAACGTACATGGCCTAAAGTTGAGTGTCAGACTGTGTAGTTCGCAACTTACAACAGAGGATTCGCTTTTATAGTGTTAGTAAATTATTGAATTATTTTAACACCAAATTGTTTTGTTGTTGTTATTTTAATTTATTTTACTTGAATTAAACTCAGAAGTACTGGCGAATTGCAGGATTAGTCTGCAATCACGCAAATCAGGATTGCCGCTCTCGTCAACATACAATGTAAGCTCATAGCTTCTCAGCGTTATGCAAAAGGCTAAACCACAATGTATTATCTCCACTCGTATTTTGCCAGTGCTTTTTATGGTTCCAGAATAAACTAATGTTCTTTCAAACTTGGATGACTGTTTATTATATCAATTCTCATATATATATATATATATATATACTGTATTTACTGGGACGGATGGTACATATAAGCATTCATCGTGCACTGTGACAGCGAATAAGAGTTCTACACTTACAGAGCATGCGCCAGCAGTGCCATGGATATAAAAAAAAACAAGTTGTTCTTTTCCTGAGACACTAGAACGTCAGGCCTATTAGCTGAAAAGGCTTAAACTTAAAGCGAGTTTCTGACCTCGTTCAATCTTCAACTGAGAAAAATACTGCAATATTCTCAATGCAATCTGATTGGGGATACGAGCTACATAATGGTAAGTTATCATACAACGGACAAACTTTTCAAATCTTTGTTTCATAGTTTAACCCTTTCCAGCCTGCACATTCTGGGTGTTGCCTGAAGAAATTGTGTGGCATCAAATTTAAAAATCATTCGAACGAATTTCCTCCAAAAATATAATTATAACTGAGATGTTGAGGTTTTAAATTTTGTTTTGTAATAAGTTTTATTAATATTTGTTTTAGATGAAATAAAAAGAAATAGAAACTTAACCCCTTATTGAATAAGTAGAGTGTAAAACACGTAAATACACCAGTTTGATTTTAGCCCTAATGGTCGATTTTAGCCTCGTGTTGGAACTCTGGATCGGATTTTACATCCTTTTGTCAGGACCTGGGAGGAATGCGAAGCTTTATCGATATTTGGTCGTTGTGCACGACCTGAGAGGTTCAGGTTCACTTCGGTCTTCTCCCTCCTCTCTCTGGGAATAATTTATATTCCGATAGTTGAAATAAATTTCCCGCCCGCGCAGAGAAAACTTGTCAGCAGACGATACAAAGCCTGCAATAAGTAGATTTGATACATCTGTGGGACTATTTTTCTTATACATTTAAAATTGTAATGTAAAGTACTCTAAGTCTCAACCCTTTGCGTGATTTTTAACGTAAATTTCATTTTCTAAGGGTGTGGTAGTCGTATATATATATATTTGTGTGTGTGTATATTGTCTGAAACTTGGGATTATTTTCTTTTTCGTAACTTATTTGCCGCGGAATTTAATTTTTCTCGTAAGTTCACAAGAAAGAAAAATCATGAAGTTGAGTTAGTGAGTTTTAAAGTTCATTTTTACTTTTTATTGGCATTTAGTTATGGTCTTCTGTTATTTGTAAGCCATATAAATGTGATAGATTCACTTAATTTGTTTCTCAGCGTGTTTTTTTGGTTTACTGAAATAATTTTCTTTTAACAAGTAACGTTTTTGTATACAGTATCATATGTTTTGTTATTTGATTCATAGAAGGATCAAAAAGACGCCTAAATGTCGTACTTTTGTACTCGTTATGAACGTAACTTTGCCGTCTTCGTTATGTGTTTGTCAACAGATATTAGATATATTATTATTATATGTGCACTACAAAAAAGTTGTATGCGTAAAATTGATTGTGATAATTACTATATATTTACACTAGTTTTAATACTTTAGACGATTTTTATTCCACCGTTTCTTTCAACAAAGTGTCCTAACCTAACTGAGTTTTCGTAAATACTTCAACACTGACTATTAACAGTATGAGGTATTTCGCAACGTTTGCATTACGGCGTAGTAAATGGATATGTTATGCAGTGGTTTCTAGCGTATTATAGAATATAATTTGACAAATAAAATCAAATATGTGTTTAAAAAGGCATAATAAATATCTTGTCATCTATATGAAATTTCATTGTTTCAAATATGATGAAGTTTGTGATTTTAACACTTATTTAATAAAAAATATACATGCATAATATCCTATACTTGAAACGAAAGGGTTAAATGATGCAAACAATATAGCAACTTCTTTCAAGAGAAATATGGGAATCCTTCTTTCGGAAAATTTCCCTTCAATTTAGCCTTGACTTCATCAAAATTAAATATACTTGTCTGCCCAATCGCCTCTAAGATAAAGCAAAAAGTGTTCCTTAATTCTTGAGCGGTGAACCGTTACGAAACTGGTGCACCAGAGCACAACTTTACTTATTGTTTAAGACTCATAACGTAGTGTTACGACAGCGGGGGTCACGTGACCTAGTAACACGTCATATTCTCGAAGGTTCGTGAATCCTCGAGTGTTTACTAGATTTGCGGTATTCTTGTATATACAAGACGGGCAAGAAGTGACGGCAACAATGTAAGGTAATTGAATTGCAGACAGAGATAGATACGGACAGTTGGGTCGAGCGCTTGAGTCGTTCGTTGTGAATTATGGCGTTTGTTATAGCGTGACTGTGGAAATTAAGTGTATTGCAAAGTTGTATTCAGAAAGAATAAACTAGTTTTATTGAAGAAAGGACTTGTATTGCTAAAGTTTCTTCGGAAATAATTTTTACGGAAAATTAACAAACTAACGACCAGAGACGTAACAGTAGGTAAATTAATATGTAGAATTATACACAGACTTTTCTCTACGTTAAAATACTTGTATTTTCGAGCTTTTGACCCTCTTACCGGGGCCTTCATCGGGCCGAAAGCTCGCAAATAAAATTATTTTCACGTAGAGAAAAGTCTGTGTATATTTCTACAAACACTACTTTACCTTCACATCAACATGCTTACGTGGAGATATGTATAGAGATATTTATTGTAACTGATATATTTGTGTATAGAATTTGGAAAGTTCTTTTTTGCTTAATTCTTCCAGTGACAGGTCTGCAGAGTCATTCATCACAATCTTATGCCATCTAATCCGCATATGCTTAAACTATGCTGTCAATACAGCTCTGTACAGGACTAAACTGCGCTGTACATACAGCTTTGTACACAATTAAACTAGTTGTATATATATATATATATATACGATATAGCTGTGTGTACGGTTAAAAACGTGCTGTCGGTATAGTTTTGTGCACGACTAAAATACGTTATCAATACATATCTGTACGTGAAAAAAAATTATATACAGAAATGTATTTGTAATTAAGCACAAAGCTACACAATGGGCTATCTGTGCTCTGCCCACCACGGGTATCGAAACCCGGATTCTAACGTTATATGTCTGGGGGCGCAGCGCTGTGAAAGAGTAAGTTGTGCTGCGCTGCCATATAAGTTCATAAATAACATAAACTGCCCTCAGTATAGGCTCTGTACATGCCTAAACTAAAAATGTCCTTACAGAATCCGTTCACGATTAAAAGTTTGTACGGAGCGGTTAGAACACTTTTGATTAAACTGTATATGATTAATCACAGCTACTGGTAAACGTCAATAAACTATCAACATGTACTGTTAATAGAGCTAAATACATACATACATAAACTGTAGAATCTATACAACTATATACGATTTGAAAAAGTTTGAAAACTTGTGATTTTAAAAGAAAACCACAAAAACATATTACATGGTAAAAAAAAAAGACCTTTTTAAGTCTGCGTCGTTTATTTATTAATGTATACAAATTATGTTTTCAACATATTCAACAACAAACAACCTCGACTTTTGGTTCATTAACCGAAAGAAAACCTTGAAAATCCAGTCAGTTATGTCTGGTTTCTCATGCTGCTGCGACATACAGAGCTCACACATACAGGAAGACAAAGAAGACAATATACATTATTGCTTGCTCACTTTACTTGTACACGTACCTTACGTCAACGTTCTTTAAATCATCATATATGACGTGTAAAGAATATGGATTGTGCTTGAAGTTTTTCCAACGGGTGAGTGTTTTTTTTCTCTTTGTAACCGTATAGTAATAACAAAAACAAGGAAAAAGATTGCCCAAGTTAGAAGACGGTGCTTCTAGCTTATAAAAGTCAATACGTAATTGTCTAATTGTCAGGAAAACTTAAATCGATCACAGGTTGTTTAAATTTTGAAGGATAGAGGAATCTTCAAGATATTAAAACAGACAAAAAAGCAGATTAAAGTGGAATTCTTCATCATTAACAGTATATAAATGAGTAAGCCTAAAATAGCTTACTCATCAAAGCTGAGGAGAAACAGATAAAGGGCAATATAAAAAAAATAAGTTATAATTAAGTTATCAACCCCAGTTCATAGTTAAGTATGCCTAGTTTATCTGCGCTACCAAGGAAGGATCCGAGTAATGAAAAAAAATCATTCAGTATGTGACGTCATTTATAATGATCAGCAGTGAGTATCCTTATACAGTTATTTTTAAAGGAAGAAAGAGATTGATTGCAAAAAAAAAAAAACATGTTGGATGTCATCACTGTTTTGGAATCTGAGGTTCTATCTCTGTTAACAAGATGGACAGGCCTTTTCCCTTCTTGTAATGTATCTACTGTGGTTGTCATTCTTATGTTTGTCCTTTAAGCCACATCGTGTTCTGAACTGAACTGATCCATTTGAGAAATCATGCAATCTAAAACAAGAAACTACAGCTGAGAAGTTGATCACTGTATATCAAAAGTTGCGATTTCATGAAAACGATCGAGAAAAAAACCCTGGCCAAATATATTTGTCTGATGAAAGTATGGTTTTTGAAACTGTTTAAGGGGAGGGAGAAAAAAAAAGAGAAACAAAATACTAAAAAAACAGGACGTTGAGTACGATATCATAATAGAAGATGAAATTCGTGGAGAATAGGCTAAAATCTTACGTTACTTCATGCATTCCGTTGCTTATAACTCCCAAACGTAAGATATGTAGATTATGCAGGCTATGCGGTGTCACTTTTGATGTTATGTCCACTGATTGTAAAGTTACAGAACAAAGAGGTGTCAGATGTGCCTTCAGAAATTCCTTCAACCATAATATCTTTCCATGATCACATATCGCTTATGAACTATTTCTCTAGCAATGAGTGTGGCTTTACGTGACATAGACGTGTTTGTCAAGGCTCGAGTAGCTCTAAAGCTTTGCTTAATCTCATCCATAAATGTGAGAAAATAGGTACTGTGGTCGTTGCACCACAGCTAGGACACCACCTATTCCCGTGAAATTTGTTGCAGAAATAGAACAAAAGTTATCAGACAACGGACAGGGCAATTCCCAAGGAGAATGCAGCACCCATCATGTTACCAGGTCTACTCTAGACCTCCACAAACCATATGCAACACACTAAAGATGTTTCCTTACGAGATTGAAAGACTGCCGGAACTGTTTTCTTCCAACCCAAATAATATATTGAGTTTTGCCTTGTAATTCGGTGCACGTCAGTGGCGTAGCTGATTCCCCTAGATTTGTGGGGAGGGAGCAAGCGGGAACACATTAATACAACCTCAAGTAAGGGAATTCCTATGGTACTAGAACAGCATAATTTTTTTAGAGATCCTAAATTTTCATTCATAGAAAGTTTTTTAAAAAACGTATAT